GGTGGATAGTTACTCTATTACAATGATGTGCTTATAATGCCTAGATGAGGTCGAAAAATGCGATAAACCCTTGATGACAAGACCTTTTTAAGGCAATCATGTGTGAAATCCAATGGCATCATGAATATTGCTGTTCTCATCATGCTGCTCTACTTAATTTCTATATTTATTACTTTTTGTGCATTGATAATGTCTAGGCAATCTATTTTTGCTTTATGATTTATCTGCATAACTGGCTTATTTATCACTTAAATATTTGCTTCACTATTACGACGCTTCTTTAGATCTGACGATTCGTCTTCTAGTAAAGCAAAACTCATTTTGTTTATCAAGTTTTTCATTCGCTAGACTCCTGATGAAAATGTGCATCTCTCGGACACTATCTTTATCTTACATTTTCCGAACCTAAAGCTTTATTTGGCCTTAGATCCTATTTTATTTGTTTTATAATTTCGGTTAACCTGTTTTATCTCTACTCTTTCCTATATCATCTGCTTAATCCTTCTAATTTTATCGGTTCTTTTTCGTTTATCAGATATCTAGTATTCGTACTCAGTTGTTCTCTCCTTCTCTTGAGAAAGTCTTTCCTAATGAGGCCACTTCGCCATGGCCATATCCAAGTGGTGACGAAGGTCGAGGTCGTCCGCTTTCAATGGATGTTTTTACCACCGACAAAAAATCTAACCGTTTTCTACGAGAAACCTGTGTCTGGGACGAGACTCTTAATATTGGGATGGATCCTACCAGTGGTCAGTTGCTTCGTATTGGCCATTTTGATGTCATCCATACACCAAGTGATCGCGGAATGCACATCTCTTGGACACCTGATGGTCTCCGATTAAGCAGATATCTCGATAGCATGGGGCGCATTCGAGCTGTTTTGCTAACCTTGGTGAGTATATACAATTTTATTATCTCTAGCTCAGAGGATCCTATTATAGTTCATTTTGCTATATTTAAAAAATTATAATTTTTTTCCAGTTACAATCATCATATTTCCGAGACATCTGACATTTTAATATAAATTATATTATTATTTTACTTAATAAATCACTAATTATTTGGTAAATAATATTATGTTAATAACTTTTTTTAAATAACTTTATTTCTTAATAACTTAGACATTCCTATGATACGGGCTTTTACATTGCTTAAGCCAAAAACGTGGGCTATTTGTAACTTCCTCTGGTTATAGGCACTTCGAAATTGGATTTCCATCCTTCCTGATCTGCTTAAATGAACATATTTTAAGTATATACTAGGAGTAACTGGGTTTTGATGAGTCCTGAGATAACATTGCTGAGGAGACCTTCATTTCATATGAAAATGCATGAAGAAGAGATTCGCAGATCTCATCAGAAGACGTCAGCTGAATCCCGCTTTACTGCTGCCGTTTGCCTTTTATACGACGTTAAGTTTGATTCAGCTCACAGGACATACTTCTTCACTTTGGGGGAAAGCGGACTGAGCTTTCGTCTATCATATCAGTTAAGCAAAAGAAAATTAAAAAGCATAGATAGATACAAAATGGTTTGACTAATTATCTTTCGTATTGGTCCTGCTACTTTTGCTCGTGTTCGTGTGTGCGTGCACGTGTTTAACGTCTATACTCAATACCGGTCCTGAATCATAGTGATCAAAAAAGGCTAGTGTCGGGCTCTGGTCATAAAATCTTAATGACCCTTCAAAAGGCAAAAGTCCTGACCGAGACTGAGTAAGTTCCTAAGCAAGTATGGTTGATATAATGAGATGTAAGCTTGTAAGTATGTGAGTCAACTTACGAAACCACCCGTCCTAATCTCTT